CGTCAAAAAGCTGTCCCGGCTGAGAAAAAACCGGTCCTGGGGAAGGGGGCCCGACCTCTGGGGGCCCGCGCACTGTAGGGAGCCCACAGAAGGACGCACGCGCCCACCTATGCACACGAACACGGCCCCTCGCTCCGCGAGAGTGGCCGCGTGGTACGAACATTTGCGCAATGCGTACTCTCGACACCAGCGTAGATTCGTGTGCGTGTGCGTTCTTCTTTCGCTCCTGATATTGAGAAAATCACAGCGTCTGAGTTCTAGACCAGAGGGGGGTGAGGGGCGCAAGGCGGAAGGGTCTCTGAGAAGGCAGAGGTCTTCTAAGAGGCCCGCCCAGCTTGTCCTTCAGACCCCGATCCCTGGCGATGTGACTCTCTTGTCGGTCCAAGCGGTTTTCCTCGATTGGGGCCTCTGGGGCCCATTCCTAAGTCCTTCGGGGGCAGCCAAGTGGGGTGCGTCGAAAAGGGGTGGCGCAAATCATGGCCAGCGGCACGTGCGCGGCCCAGGGGGGGGGGCCAGGAACGCACTGAAATAAGAAGAGGCGCCATGAAATCTGGGGAGATGCCATGGTCCCCGCCATGATATCCACCCCCCCCTGGTCATCACCCCCTTCTTTGCCGACGCCGAGCCCCGGGACCGTCAGAAGCGGATCCACGACGCCGAACTACCCCCAGGGGTACGGTTCTCCCAGACATCCAACTGCTCCAAGAGGAGGAGGAGGCGAGGAGGAGGAGGAGGAGGAGGAGGAGGAGGAGGAGGAGGAGGAGGAGGAGGAGGGGAGGAGGAGGAGGAGGAGGAGGAGGAGGAGGAGGCGAGGAGGAGGAGGAAGAGGAGGAGGAGGAGGAGCAAAAGTGGTCGGATCTCCGCGGGGATGCACCGACAGGCGCGTGCGCCACGCTGGTCCCCGGCAGCCAACGACAGGTGCCTGCGCGCCACGCGATGTGTCGCTCATACCCAGAGGGAGCCCACACGGGGGTCCACAGAAGCCTCTTCGGGCACCCTGGTGAGCTCCACGAGAGCAAGCGCCGCTCTCCGGATTCCAAGTAGATGATCCGCCCGCCCCATCCACACTGGGTGGCGGCTGGAGCACCCGCACAGCTGTTTAAACATGCGATATGCCAGCACGATGGCTTCCACGATCTTCAAAGTGGGGGTACCCCCCAGACCAATCCTAGCGCACAAATGTGCCACGCTGTATGCTTCGACGAGCGGGGACAGGCGCGACGCGCAGCCGCGGGCGCCCAGCGAAGCCCAGGTCAATCTGGGGCTTTCGGAAGCTCCGCGAGGCGCTACGCCACGATGCGTGCGAAGTCTGCTCCGCTGCCCCCAGCGATGCGCAATTCACCGAGAAGGAGTGTCGCCTGCCCGCGCGCGGGCAAGCGTTCCTGCATGCACGTGAGCATGCGCCGCCTGCATGTGGGTGCACCTGCATGTGCATGCGCCCTGGGCCCGCGCACTGCAGAAGCCCTATCGTCGGATGTCCGGGGGGGAGCGGCGGCGCCCACAAGGGAGCGTGGCGCCCGGGGGGCGGCCGTCCAAGCAGGCGGCGGGGCCTCCTCGAAGGGCACGGGCCTTCCTGGACCTGGAAGGCCCTGGAGGCTTGCACGACGACTCCTTAGAGGCCAGGGCCTTCTCTAAGGTTAGGTCGGGCCTGTCCCCCTGCAGGGGGATGTTGGACGAAAAACTCAAACATATTCCAAACATACTCCCAAACAAATTTTCAAAAAAAATCGTTCCCTGAATATGTCTTGACTCTTTTTGAATATCCCTCCTGTCGGGGGACAGGCCCGAGGTGCCGCCCTCTTAGGAAGCCCACCCCCCTCGCGTCATCCCTGGACTGGGCGAAAGGGGAGATAGCAAAGGGGGGGGGGGGAGAATCAGCTCACGTAGCTTCGGCGCTGGAGGCGCCCATGTATCGAGGAATGGGCCCGGCAGCGGGGCCGAAACCAGCTGCATGCAGCAGATTTCGAAACCCCCCCTTTCACTATTCCCCCCTTTCGTTCGGCCCGAGAGGAGGAGGAGGAGGAGGAGGAGGAGGAGGACGACGACGAGGAGGACGAGGAGGACGAGGAGGAGGAGGAGGAAAAAAAAAAAAAAAAAAAAAGGAAAGGAGGAGGAGGGTGTGAAGGTGGGCGAAGAGCAGAGGAGGCCGAGAGAGCGCCCCCCCTCTCGTTCGGCCCGACACCCCCTTGGTGCGCGCCGCCAACCCACCCGAGGGGGCCGAGAAAGCAGCAGGCATCGCAATGCGCACACACACGCACACGCACACGCTCACACGCGCACCGACCCTCGCCGGGCTCCTCCTGGGGGGCCCGGGCGGGCGCGTGCCCCGGCCTCCCGCGCCCCGGCCTGCTCTCGAGACGCGGGCCCCGTCCTCGTCGTCGTCGTCGTCCTCGTCCTCGTCGTCGTCGTCGTCGCCATCGTCTTCATCGTCGTCGTCGTCGCCGTCGTCGTCGTCATTGTCGTCTTCCTCGTCCTCATCCTCGTCGTCGTCGTCGTCCTC